GTTTCCATTGGCTTTTTTCAGGCACAGAAATATTACACATGAATATTTGCTTAAAGTTGTTCAGCAGAATGGAATTTGTAACTATCAAGTTGTATTAGTATAGAAGCACATATAGAATAAATGGCAAGGATCAAATTAGGTTTGTTAAACTAGTTATTGGCAAAAAAGTGGTTCTTGTGAGGTAAACAGGTAGATTTGGTGCAGTTAGATGTGATAGCTTGGCAGAACAAGATTTTGAATACATTACCATGAAAATACAGAATTAATGTTTGTTGTTAGTCGCAAAGTCGTGTCCGACCCATCACGACCCCATGGGCAACATTCCTCCAGGCCTTCCTGTCCTCCACCATCCCCCAGAATCCACTTAAGCTCATTCCAACTGATTCAGTGGCTCCATCTAGCCACCTCATTCTTTGACGTCCCCTTCTTTTGCCATCTATTATTCCCACCATTAGACTCTTCTCCAGGGAGTCCTTCCTTCTCATTAGGTGGCCAAAGTATTTGAGTTTCATCTTCAGTATCTGGCCTTCTAAAGAGCAGTCAGGGTTGATCTCCTCTAGGACTGACCAGTTTGATCGCCTTGCAGTCCAAGGGACTTGCAGGAGTCTCCTCCAGCACCACAATTCAAAGGCCTCAATTCTTCGGTGCTCAGCCTTCCTTATGGTCCAGCTTTCACAACCGAATATTGCAACTGGGAAAACCATAGCCTTGACTATATGCACTTTTGTTGGCAGGGTGATGTCTCTTCTTTTTAGTATGCTGTCTAGATTTCCTCCCAAGGAGCAAGTATCTTTTAATGTCTTGACTGCAGTCCCCGTCTGCAGTGATCTTGGAGCCCAGGAAAATAAAATCTGTCACTACCTCCATTTCCCCCCCCCCCCCTCTATTTGCCAGGAAGTGAGAGGACCGGATGCCATGATCTTAGTTTTCTTAATGTTGAGTTTCAAGCCAACTTTTGCACTCTCCTCCTTCACCCACATCAAGAGGCTCTTTAGTTCCTCTTCACTTTCTGCCATGAGAGTGGTATCATCTGCATATCTGAGGTTGTTGATATTTCTCCCAGCAATGTTAATTCCAACAGGTGATTCATCTAGCCCCGCCTTTCTTATGATGTGCTCTGCATATAAGTTAAATACAGCCTTTCCGAACTCCTTTCTCAATTTTGAACCAATCAGTGGTTCCTTGTCCAGTTCTCACTGTTGCTTCTTGACCCACATATAGGTTTCTCAAGAGACAAATAGGATGGTCTGGTACCCCCATCTCTTTAAGAACTTGCCACAATTTGTTGTGATCCACAGAATCAAAGGCTTTAGCATAGTCAATGAAGCAGAAGTAGATGTTTTTCTGGATTTACTGTTACACTTTCATAAAAAGGAGCATGAAACTGAGACCTGTGGACAAGGGATAGGTGGAACAACCTGAGTTTCAGAAAAGGTTTTGTGGACCTGTTTTTTTAAAATTTGGATGTCCATCATTTTCACTTCCCAGAAGTCACTGGTAGAGGCTTTTGCAGTGCAAAATCACAGGTTTGCTACAGATAAAATTCAGTAACATCTCAACTAAGGATTTACCCTATTATTTTGACACAAATGTGGATTCTGATAAGGATGCTGATGCATTCCAGATAAAAGTTTCACCAGATGTGTAATTATGTATATCTACCTGAGGTTTTGAATCAGTATTGTGGATTCCAGTGTGACTGGCAGTCCACATTGAATCACAGGTTTTCTACAGGTGAAATTTGGTTGATGTTTATTATGAAAACACTTGATGTGCATTCTAGAGGGGGTGTCAGTATACTCAGACTGATATATCAGGTGGTTAGAACATCTGTGCTCAGTCCAAAACTTGAAATATCAGAATTATAGCAGCAGCCCCAAACATAAAAATCCTTTCTATAAGTTATTCAAATTATGTCCTATATCCTGGACCTGAAATTTGAGTAAGTTGTGCTTAGTATGACATTTTTGACCTATTAAATGTACAGCTCTGTTTCAACAGAGTGTGTTACCATTTGCCTCACATTAGTAACCGAAACACATTTTACTACAAATGAATTGAGGGATACATACTACTTTGCGATATAATGGAATAAGCTGCATTGATGTCAGCAGGCTTTCAGTTTGTCCTGGGAATGTTGACTGTACCTATTCCCCGTTGTTATCACGCTACTCCTTATTGACAGTTTTAGATTAGATCTGCTGCTCATTCCTGTTCAAAGCTACAGAAGAAATATCTTTGATATTAAAGCTGTTTATTCAGTAAAAATATGCAATGTTTCTAGAAGGCTGGAAGAAGCCCACAATCCTCCTTATGAGCTATCCAGAACCAATGCATTTAAATAGCATTCTTAACAACAGCATAGTAATATAGAGCCACTAAATCTCAGGTTGCCCTCCTCAGAGAGAACTGGGACCCCAGGTTTATGAATGGTCAGATTCCCTGTGGAGAACACATGCATGGGATATATTAATTTTGCAATTACAAAATGTTGCAAGAAGCTAGAAGTTGCAAGAAAAATGCGTAGTTGCACTGGAGTAACAACTTGAAGACAAAGAAGATGAAACTACATCTGACTTTTTTATTTCACAAAAAAAGAGAGAAAATAGACCAAATTATCATGAAAGTATTAAATGTATTACTACAGCATGGCAATAAACATGCCATACATGTTTAACACAGTACCTTGGAGATGTTGAAAGGATACAGATAATCAGATGTTTGGGTAAATGGAAGTTCTGTTTATACACATTTATATCCTTGTGTGACTTGGAGCCTTGGCTACCTTCAAGTAGTGAGGCCCTGGAGATTCTGTTATAATTACCAAAACATGTAAAATGTATTTTTAAAGCAGCTAAAAGCAGCCAGCTGCTCACTGTCTTCTCACTCATGTTGGCTGAAGGAAGTCGGTTATTACGGGTTACCCTTAGTTTACAATTCTTGCCTGTTTCTAGAATGTGGAGTAACTTGGGCTAACACTGGTATGCAGGAGCCTCAGTACGGACTTTTCCTATAAGGTCTGAGGCTTCTTAAGTGCAATTACTGCTGCTTGATTGTTTAAAGCCCTAGGGCACCACAATAGATACAAACAAACAAACACCCTTCCCCACAGGATGGCATAGATAGCCATCTGATGTATAAATGCATAGGCTGTCTACAATATAGTATAGATGTTAATGCAATAAAAAGAACTCCAAGTTTTTGAAGACAAGCCTTGTATTTTCTTAGCTGCCAAAGTAAATGTTGCTACGTGGTAAATGCTTCTTTGCCTAAAAGTCATGTACATATCTGGTCTACTGGGGTCTATTTGACAAGGATTGAATAAACTTTTGCCTAGGATGTTCATATAAGGGCTGACTTAATGAGAAACATCTTCAGATTATCCAAATTCATAAATATATAGTCTTTGGTGGGAGATTTCTTAAGGTGTATGAAAGAACCTCAGTACAGCACCAAGTAGAAGGCCAAACTATGGTGCATCTGTGGCTGTGGGGGAGGGCAGGTCACAGAAATTTTTGGGTCTTTAATATGTCAGGAATTGGCAAAGGTGGAGATTAATCTTTGAGTTGTACACCATGAAAAACAGGTGTGCTGCCTGTGTAATGCTGCAGTTGTACGTAGGCTTTGCATGAGAATTTGACAGTGTGTCCTGATAAGACTTAAATGCAGGTGATGTGTTCAGAACTTGAAATCCAAGGGGGGAAATTGGATTCATAAATCAAAGCCAGGATGCCTTGTAAAACAATACCAAGTACTTGCTTGAGTAAACAATTTTCTTGGCTCACAGAAGACAAAGGGAGGGAGAGGAGGCTGAGAAGATTCTGTGTTGGAGATATCAGGGGTAGGCAATATTTGACACACAGGTACTCCACGTTTAGATTTGTGCCATCTTTTCTTTGGCATAACAATGACAACAGGGACAATTTGGGTCAGGGCTGTGGTGCTGAGGGTGGAGAAGTTCTTAATCTGTGTCCTCATGCTTCCACAATGCTGCTAACAACTGCTAAGTGGCAGAGGGGAGGAAGGGTTATAAGTATCGATCGTGCTATGGCTACCAGCAGCTTTGGTGTCTGGAGATTTACATTGAAGAAGAGTCTGATCTATCCCCCAAAACTCCAAATGGTCCCCCCCTTTTTTTCAGTCAGAAAGAAAAAATGTTCAGAGATTTGATCATGCATCCACTGTGCCACATGTAATTTCCTCCTGATGCCAGAGCAGACTGTGTACAGATAAGCAGACTGTGGGAGACTATTTTAAATGGTGTCTAATGGCAGCTGTCTTCTCATGAAGACACATTGTTAGTGCGGTATATGGGCACAATTACCAGAAAGTGATTGGATTTCTATTTTACTTATTTATTTATTTCATTTTTATACTGCCCAATAGCCAAGGGCTCTCTGCATGGTTAACAAATGCCATATGGCTATTTGTGTCCGGTTGTCCCAAACAACATAGTGTGCCTTCTATTTTTCCTATCCTTTTTTGTGTTCTGTCATGAAGATGTGGTATAAAGAAGGCAGGTGGTGGGGATGCATCACCTTAGGATTTCTTTCTTTTGTTTCAATTCTAGCCATGATGACCTCGGTAAGTAGCTTGATCTCCATGTTTCTTGGTTTTCAATCTCTCCCTTTAGTAGATAAAGTTACACCATTGGGCTTATTTTGAAGTTAAGAACTTCTGATTTTACTCTGTGTGAAGCCAAAGCTGGATTCAATATTTATGACAGGGAATGGCAAGCTTTACATTTGGCTAGGAATTAAATTTTCTTTGTATGAATATTGCAAGGGCTTGGACAGCCCTGTTGTCATTACAGAGTTCATTAAAAGATCAGCAAACAAGTAAATTCCTTAATAATTTGGTCTCCCAGAATTAATTTAGTGCCTACAGAGATGCAAAGTGCTGTTCCTACACTTCAGTTGTGTAGCAATCATATTTGTTTATTCATCTTAAAAATTTATGTAACCTAATACTATTTTAATTTGCTTTTCTTGCTCACGCAGGAACTACCTCTTCAGACTTAGCCTACACAACATTTCTCTTATTCAGGTATGTTCACACTTTCCATCTAGTACTAACTGATTGCATAATTAACAGGTTACATGAATACTCATTTATCAAAGAACAACCAATGTGTACTAGTATAGTCTGTTGGTAACAGAGGATGTGAACTGATTGGGAGTAGGGATGTTTGGCTACTGTAAAATTCATTCCCGCTATGTTTCATGGATTGTCAGACACTTTTCACCTTGTCATCTGCTTATTGACAGAATCAGATTTCGTGAAAAAGCATTTGTATGCATTCCTTCATATTTGGAGTTGCACAAACCCCTATGTGTAAATCTCTAAAAAAAAAAAAAAATGCAAATGCCTGGAAAAAGGGATTTCCAGACTTTAACTGCTGGGGAAATGTACATTTTGGCCTCTTTTATGTATTTTTCTGTGACTATGTTTGTGTGAAATTACATTTAAACATGCATGTATATAAAGGTCTGCAAGTCTAAAGCATCTACACAACTCAGGAAAAACAGGCCCACTAAAGAATCCATTAGTTGGATTCTTAGACATTTGAGTCCACTAACTCAGTGAGCCTATCACATGGGTCCATTGTGGATTTTTGCAACTTCTCTAGCTGTGAGGCACAGACACCAAATATTACTTTAAAACCCACAAGCAGTATCCAGTTTGTTGTGAGTGCTAATGCAAATTACGTTGCACTAACATAAGGGGCCTCTAGTGCAGTGCCAATTACATTAGCAAAGACATTGGGATTCCCTCTGTGCCAACTAATGCCATGGCGTTGCACTAGAGGTCCCCAGGGCTAGCATTACATAACTTACAGTAGGCTTGCATTTATTTGATCCTGTCCCTTATGGTCCCCATACTCTTCTGGAAATATTAACCATTTTGCGTTTTTAACGTTACTACATTACTGTGAACCCCTGCGTTAGACCCTCTGTAGTTTTAGCCATGTGCATTCTTCTGCTTGAGAGGATAAAGCTAAGAGATGGAGAGTGCTCCTGAACTTTCCTAGTTTGGCTTTTTATCCCAGTGTCTTCTATGAAGACAGAATGGGCAGGTGTCAGGAAAAGGCATCATCTTAGAAGCGAAGTTGGCCTTTGACAGACAGCTAGTGCAAGCTTAACTAAAACAATGCAAGGAAATCCTTAGCTTTCTTTAATGCAGAGGTCAGCAGCTTTCAGATAAGCCTTTTACTATTCACGTCCATCACTCTTCCTGAACTTTTGTTGGCCTTGTATGAGCACAAGATGCTGAGGAGCTGAATTTTGCTTTCCTACTAACAACTTATAAGATGAAAATGTTTCAGAATGTTTGCAAATGTGCATCATTTTTGTACTGCTTGTAGGTATAGCACTGAATCAGTTAAGTTACAGTGATATGAGATATTAACACTGAAGACAAGTAAGTGCAACAGTTGATCAGCATACTGGAAAGTTCTTGCTTCCTAAAGCAATTAGAAACTAGTAAAAATGCTCAGTTCCAGAATAGGTCTGGTTCTACAAATGCTTAAATTTGGGCTGCTACTTTGTGCTTTGCCTTGCTGTGGAGTGGTCAGAGCTTCAGGTCTGTTAGCTGGGCGTTCCAGAATAATAGATTATTAAGTCTTGGGCATAATGAAATTTAATCCTTGCTACCTTGTATTCCTGGTAGAAGTTAGAAATTGAGATTCCTTTCCTTGCTTCCTGCTTGTTTCTTTTTAGATATGTGACTCTCTAGAAGGAAACACACTAGATCTAGTATTGCCATTTAGTAGCTTCCTGCTGCATGGCAGGAATTTGTTGGAACAGGTGATGGTATGGTGCATGGTAAGTGTGGCAGAGTCTGTCATGAAAGTGGCAATGCTCATCTGGTGGAAAAAAAATGCTGCCCAGAAGGCAGCTTCTTTTGAATGAATTTAGGACCACCACCAATATTAAATTTTTAGCTCCGGTAAAGGCCTTCGTCAAGTCATTCAGGTATGAAAATTTGTATTAAAAGTAAGAATGTAAGCCCATTTTTATTCCGAATGACACAGTAGTGACATCTCTGTAAATTGCAGCCCCAGAGTGACTATGCTCCCATGAAAGCTTGATGTTATAGCACAGGCATGTCTTCCTCACTGTTCAGCCAAAGGAAATAATTGAGTGATTACCTCTCTGCCTGCTTTCTAGAGATTTAGGGAACAAAGGGCAGTATGCAATGTTAGCAGTCATCCAGAAATTAACACTAGTGCAACAGGAAGTTAGTACTGGTTAGTGCAGCCTTGAAAGTTAACCCCAAATAGTTCTTCTGGAACAGAACAAGCCAGTGGAGTAACCTTCTGTGATCTCTACTGACTTTTTGCATTCCGGGAACACTAATTGGAGCTAGCTTCTATTTGTGCTAGCTAATGTTAGCTTCCCACTGTTTCTGCTGGCCGCATTGCTTTGTTAGATACTGCCCAGCACTACAAGAGCCATTTTTATATGAAGGATTTCTGGACTCTAAGTTCAGCATTCCTTGACAATAATGATTCAGTATCCATCCATGATAAAGTATCTGTTTTGCATTTCGGTTGTACAATATTTAAGTAGACAATTGTGGTGCATTGGAGTATTGAATGAATGGTGCCTAGAACTAAGGAAAGACTGTTTTAAAAAAGCTGACAAAACTGATCTGTTGGATTATTCAGTCTTGGTAATAAATAGTTAGCCATTTGATAAAGCACCCCATTAAATCCTAATTCTATTTAAAGTAAATAGGACTTAAATTACAGTTTGATCAACAAGGATTGCATCATTACTACTAGAACATTAAAGTTTAGCTTTCTTTAGGCATTTTAAATAACCTCATTTTCAGTGTTCTTCTACTGTAAAATTTTATATATATATATATATATATATATATATATATAATTTCAACATCACTCATTATCCAAAATGACTCTCTGACTTTGTAGCAAAGTCATAATAACATATAGAATAAAAACAATAATATGAAACCATACATACATATATAAAACAGCAACAATAGTACACAGCACCCCTCCCCCAAGAAAAAAACCACAGCAGGCACAACTCAAGTTAATCCAGGGATATAGTAGCACTAAAATACAATCAATACCATATACATAAAAAGTTTTTTAAAGATTATTTTAAGTATTAAAATATTGTGCAAATTAAAAAAATTGTCTGGCACCTAAAAGAATAAAGGGCACCAGGCGAACCTACTTGGGGACCTGAGTCTGAAGTAAGGGTACCACCACTGAGAAGGCCCTTCCCTTCATGGCCACCCTCTTAATTTCTTTCAGAGGGAGCTCTCTGAAAAGAACATCAGATGATGATCTTAGGGCCTAGGTAGGCATATATGGGAAGAATAATTCCTTTTGGTAACCTAGGCCCAAGCCATTCAGAGCTTTAATTTTTAGTGTTAACACTTTGAATTGGTCCTGGACTTCAGCTGGTAACCAACAGAGTTAGTGGAGGATATATATAATGTGTTCATATTTCCCAGTCTTTGTCAGGAGCCTTACTGCCCTATTCTGGACAATTTGAGTTTTTGGACCATCTTCTAAGGAGCCCTGTGTAGAGTGTATTACAGTACTCGAAAGGAGAGGTCACCAGAGCATGGATTACAGTTGCTAGCTTCTGACTGTCCAGACATGGTCGTAATTGGTGAATAGAAGGTGCTCCAGGGCACTGAATCTACTCAAGATTCCAGTGACAATTCAGGATCCAGGAGCATCCCCAAAATATGAAGCCTGTTCTTTGGGGAGAGAACAACTGTATTCAGGACAAGTGTAATATCAAACATCTGGACAGAAGATCCCCCCACCAACAGGACCTCTGTCTTAGCTGGAGGAAGTTTCAGTTTATTGATCATCATTCAATCCATTATCAAACCCAAATCCTGATTCAGAATGGCCATTGCCTCACCTCGGTTAGAGGAAAAAGACAGGTAGAGCAATGGGCCATCAGCATACTAATGACATCTCAGCCTACACCTCCAGATAACCTCCTCCAGTGGTTTCATGTAGATGGGGGATAAAATAGAGACCTGTAGTATTCCATGGCATAAATGCCATGGCGCAGAGCAATAATCCCCCAGCACCACCACCTAGAATTGACCAGTCAGGTAGGAGCAGAACCACTGCAAAGCAGTGCGTCCAACTCCAACTCAGCCAGCCAACCCTTCCTTACTTTGTGTTATAAGTTATGATGGGCAAGGGTCAAACATACATGCAGTGGCTCTTGACCAAACACCTTGTCTACATCCTCAGACCTCAGTAACTGAAACTCATCCAAAAAAATTGCACTGGATGGAGCTCATGTATTAAATGTGAAGTCCAATTTGTGGCAAATCAGAGTGACTTTGCCCTCAAAGTTCTGTGCAAGTGCATCACAGCAAGCTACCAAGGCTTCAACAATGACTTGCTCAGACACAGCTTGTAAAAGGCTGAAAACCACTTGGAAAAGCTCTGCTGGATGGCACGGAGAGGATGCAATGCTGGTGGAAAAGAATAACCTCCTTGTCACCCTCACCGCCGTGGAATAAGCTCAGTAATGAGCTCTAAGCCATGTTTAGTCAGATCCGTCACAAGTTCTCCACCTGCTCTAGCTGTCTCTCCTCCTGCTTCATTGCCCTCACCTCCAGGGTGTACCAGGGGACTGGCCAGGGTTGAAGGTGCTTGGTTGCAATCGTGTCAACCACTTGGGGCATCCCTTTTTTTTACAGGGTGACCTGAGCTTTGCCAGTGGTAGGCTGAGACAGCCCCATGGTTTTCATGGTGGTCATGAAGTCCCGAGGCACCCCGGACAAAGCAGCCCTGGTGTAGCGATTGAAATCCCTCAGAACCATAATCTTGGGAATTCTCACCACCAGGTCCGAGACCACCTCTGTCAACTCAGGCAGGAGTCTGATTGGCAGCAGGGCGGATGGTATACCACCCAAATCCCTAATCTGTCTCAAGTGCCCAACACAAGATATAAACACTCAAGACCTGCCGTGACTCTTGATACATTTTCTCTAACTTCTAAAAAAAAGTAAAGACAAATAAAATATTTTAAGTA